AGGACTGCTTCCTCATACAAATGCTAGATGTGCCAACCAGGAATGAGGCACTGCTGGACTTGCTACTCACAGACCAAGAAAACCTACTTTGTTATATCTCGGCTAGTGATTGCCTTGGCTGCAGTGATCACAATATTGTGGAGTTTGGGAGCCTGCTGAGCACGCTGAAGGTTAGTACTAAGACAAAGGGTTTACATTTTAGAAAAGGAAACTTCAGCTCACTCACAGCTCAGTTGGGAGGGATTCTGTGGGAAGCTTCCATGGAGGATAAAGGAGCTAGTGAGTGCTGGGAGTTTTTCAAAAATGCTCTCCTGGAAGCACAAAACCAGTTCATCCTCGTTAAAGGTAAGGAAAGTAGGCAGAGCAAGAGACCGCCTTGGCTTAATTGTGAGCTTCTGAGTCTGTTCAAAACCAAAAGGAAAGTGAACCAGAGATGGAAAAGTGGACAAATACCCCTTGAGAACCACAAGGGTGTTGCCAGGGCATGCAGAGATGCAGTCAGAAAAGCAAAAACTCAGCTCGAATTGAAATTGGCCAGAGATGTCAAAAACTGCAAGAAAGGGTTCTTCAGGTATGTAAACAACAAGCAGAAACAGAAGGAAAATATTGGCCCACTGTTAAACAGGAGAGGTGAATTAGTCACCAACACCACTGAAAAGGCAGAGGTTCTCAACACCTTCTTCACCTCTGTCTTTACCAACACCATTTGGCCTCAGGCCTTAAGAACAAAAATCCAGGTCGATGGAAACACAGACGTGCTGTCAGTGAAGGAAGAGTTGGTATGTGAACTATTACAGGAGCTTGACCCCTACAAATCGATGGGCCCTGACGATAACCACCTGAGGGTGTTAAGCAAGCTGTCTGATGTCGTTGTGAGGCTCTCCATAATCTTTGAGAGTCTGTGGAGATTGGGGGATGCCCCAGAAGACTGGAAGAAGGCTAATGTCAAACCCATCTACAAGAAGAGCCTAAAGGAGGATCCAGGAAATTATAGGCCCATCAGTCTTACTTCAGTCCCTGGGAAAGTTACAGAATGAATCCTCCTGTGGGCTATCACAGGTCAGATGAAGCATGTGATTGGGAAAAGCCAGCATGGATTCACCAAGGGCAAATTGTGCTTGTCAAACCTGATCGCCTTTTGCGACAAAGTAACCTGCTCAGTTGATGTGGGGGGAGCGGTGGACATTGTCTACCTGGATTTCTCCAAGGCTTTTGATACAGTTCCTCACAGCCTCCTCCTAGAGGAACTGATGTGTTACGGTCTAGACAAGTGGTCCATGTGGTGGGTGGTGATCTGGCTGACAGGCCGCACCCAGAGGGTTGTGGTAAATAGCTCCTTTTCAAACTGGCAACCTGTCACAAGTGGGGTCCCCCAGCGATCAATACTGGGCCCAACACTGTTTAATATATCTTCATAAGTGATCTGGATGATGGGAGCAAGTGTACCCTGGTGAAGTTTGCTGATGACACCAAGCTGAGGGAGGAAGTGAACATTATGGAAAGGAGAGCCACTCTGCAGGAAGCCCTAGATAGGCTGGAAGAGTGGGCTAACCAGAACCTTATGAAGTTTAACAAGGACAAGTGTAAGGTCTTGTAACTGGGAAAACATAATCCAGGAGTGCAGCACAGACTGGGATCAACCTGGTTGGAGAACAGCTCTGTGGAACAGGACCTGGGGGTCCTGGCAGACAACAAGCTCAATATGAGTGAACAGTGTGCTGCAGTGGCAAAGAAAGATAACAGAATGCTGGGTTGCATCAACAAGGGCATCACCAGCAGAAATAAAGAAGTCATTATCTCACTCTACTCAGGGCTTGTCAGGCCACTTATGGAATACTGTGTTCAGTTTTGGTCCCCACTATACAAAAAAGATGTGGACAGGCTGGAGAGGGTCCAAAGAAGGGACACAAAGATGATCAAAGGACTGTGAGGCCTGCCATAGGAGGAAAGGTTGAGAGAATTGGATTTGTTCAGCCTTGAGAAAAGAAGGCTTAGGGGAGACCTTATCACCATGTTCCACTACTTAAAGGGTAGCTACAAAGAAGATGGAGACTCCCTTTTTACAGGGAGTCACATGGAAAAGATGAAGGGTAATAGGTGCAAGTTACTCCTGGGGAGATTCTGATTTGACATGAGGAAAATTTTTCACAATGAGAACAATCAGCCATTGGAATAATCTCCACAGGGAAGTGGTGGATTCCCCAACATTGGACACTTTTAAGATTCCAGCTGGACAGGGTGCTGGGACATCTTGTCTAGATGGAGCTTTTGCCAAGACAGGTTGGACCGGCCGATCCTTGAGGTCCCTTCCAACCTGGTATTCCATGATTCTATGATCCTTCCTTCCTCTCTAATACTGGGGCAATATCCATCCCCACTAATGCTCTATAGCATAGTACCAGCATGGAAACAACAACAACAAATGACACTGTTTATAACCAGATGAGTAGTAATTGTGGCTGTCACAATAAATGTTAGAGAATTTTAAGGAGGCATTCCCAGCTAGTTTATTTTGATCATTCATAATAAAGGCTGTAGCAATTGGGTGTCTTAATTTTCCTATGAGTACTTTACTTGAAACACTACTTTCTAAAATTAAATGCAACACCATTCCAGGAAGGAATGGTTTTGCTTCTTTCAACAAAAAATCATCCTGTCTTCTGCAGTCAATCCCTTTTTTTTCCTTTTCCTTTTTTTTTTTTTTTTTGTCCCCTTTGATAACATTTAAATTTCTGCTGGTTTGCCCTCCTTAGTGTCCCCTCTTCTTCTCCAGTGCCAGGAGACCTCCTCAGGATGGAGGAGGCAAACTGGTCCCATTCTACCTCTTGGAAGGGTATGGTGGTCAGTATCTCTGGGGCAGAATTTCTGCTCTAAGTAGGGTGCTGGCTCCATCCTGTAGTCAATGAAACAGGATTCTTCTGGCTCAGTAATGTGCTTGCCAGTTCGCTTGCAGCACAAAAGCTCCTGAGCACTTTTTACTAATATGGGATCTGAATGCTAACAGCATAAAGGAAAAGGCTGCACAAGCCAGGTGCAGATATATTTAGTCCTGGCCCCATTTCCTGCTTTTCATTTTATAATTGTTCCTATCTTTCTCTCTCTGAACTGGAAAGTACCCTGTTTGGTACCCAGCGTGCAGCCTATAAGTAGAAACCCAGTTTCAGAGGTTCTGGTAAAGCAAACAAACCTTTATTACAGTTTGCTCTGAGGTAACTTTGCTTTTACCATATCAGCATTAGTCAATGTGCATCCTGTTATGAAAAAACCTTTGTTTGTCATCTGAAATTACAGTCCCACTACTCCCAGTTAGCATTCATCCACTCATTTTTTCTTCTTTCATTCCTGTTGCCTACTCTTCAGCAGCATACTTTGTCTTCCCTTTTCTCCATACAGCTGCATGCATAAATTTCTAAAAGAGAAGTAATATTCTGAAACAGACTATTGATCCATTAGATTAATTTTTATCTCAAAAGTTTAAGCGGAAAAGAATATACATAAAACTATATTAACGTGAATGTTTGCAACAAAGAAAAATGGAAACAAAGTTCAATTCAGTATCTGTTTACCTAAATAGCTACACAAAGAAAACAAATGCTTGATCTGTCCTAACATATTCTTAGGTGTATACACATACACACACAGAGAATGTCCTTTAAGGCTCAACACATCCTTGCTGACATTGAAACAAATCTGAAGACATATGACAGATGCTTCTATTCCTGAATATTTCCAGGGATTTGAAAGGTTCTTCCTCTTTCAAAATTGTGTTTAAAGATAAACAAAACAAGAAACAACTCAAGATTTATTTTTTTTTAAAGGGATGCCACTAAAATTATGTCAAATCATTTTTACTTCGGCTGACATGATAGATCGGAGAGCTCAATTACAATTTCTGATCTTCACTAAATTTACTAAAGCTCATTCCAACATTAGAATCTTGAGCGGTGACAATATAAATCCAGTTACCAATACAAAGGTGAGCAGATGGTGTTGCTCTGCTGGGGAGCTGAGATGGAACAGCACATAAATGAGAAAGCAATCTCCTGATGGTTTGCTGTGTTTAATGCCTGAACTGAGGACTGGAGCTGAGCCAACCTGGCTTCCAGCCAAGGTCTTCACTGGATTCAAAGGAACCCCACAGCAGTTTTCATTCGACATTAGCTTCCAAATGAATATTTGCAGGTACTACTAAAGTACTGATATAAAGTACTGATTAGTACTGCTTAATGCAAACCACAGTGAAAGGGAAGACATTGTCCTCTTTGACTCAGGAAATCAGAAATGAATCCCTAAAGCTGCTCTCTCCCCTCTTTTGTCAATTTTGAAACAATTATTTGGTATGCAAAAGTAATTCAAACTATTGCATTTAAGATCTCTAGAACTGCTACTCTCTCTAAATGCTTTTATTTTTTCATCCTTTTTTGCTTTATTAAAACTGTAAAGTAATATTAGGAACAGATCTAATTTCCACCAAACTCAATAGGGCTCTTTTGGTTGACTTTTCTGGTGCTTGGATTAGGTCCATAAGCAGCGAGTAAACAGGTAATTTAGAGTTCAGAACCTCTGCAGAATTAACATAGCTGCTGTTTCAGGGAAAAGGTTAATTTTCACTCCAGTAAGCAAGGTCTCCAGTCACCAGAAGAAAATTCAGAACCTGGATGCAGGTCTACTTTGACACAAAGGAAAAAAGTATCTGAATGCATGTGATTTAAATTTAAATCCATGTTGATTCAACCATCCCCTTCTACCTCCTCACCCTTTTCTCTCCTCTTTCGAAAGGCAAACTGCATTGCCACTTAAGATAATTTCACACTTTTTGTTTCAAGGTACTAAGGTGCATTCAGTGCTGTAAAGAAACCTTTCAGGTAGGTAAGGGGGAATGAAAGTGACTGTAAATCTATAATCTCACTGTATGGACCTACTGTTCGAATCAGCATTAAGCGGTATTTCCAGGATACGCTGCTTTCTTACAGAGCAGAGGATACACAGAGATGGCTGACCTCATTCTTCAGGTTTCTTGCCAAGAAGTGTTCAGCTACGTGGGCGGGAAGCACATTCTCCAGAAGCACGCGATTTAGGTTCTCCATGGTTTCAATCTCTTCCCGCTCTTTTTTGAACTTGTTCTTCCACAGGAAGTCTAACCTACAGTAATATTCATTCTGTTACAAGAGGACACAGAGGTAAAGAAACAATAGGCATCTTGTCCTGCTGGGGTTTAAGAGACAAAATAAGCACAGTACACCACCCCTACAAGGCTATTATTTGGCCACTCAAGTACAATTCCAGATCCCACAGAAATCAAACCCCAAGCACGCACTATGCAACATACATTTCATCAAACTTCCAAGGCCCATCCCCTATCCCATCCCCCCGCCCCCCAAAAGGCCCATAAAAAGGCTCAGGAAAAAAATAAAGTTGCAAGGTGCCTTAACGGAAGATTTACTTATTTACTCTCAGGCTTTAGTAGAGATTCATTCCAGAAATGAAACACTGTTACGGAAACAATTTACAGTTTTGCAACTTGATATGATGTCTTATTTATCCGAAGTGTAAAATTTCACTTACAATAATGGGCATTTCAGGAAGACACTAACTTTTACCAACTTGAACTTATGTTATGCAGTCAGCCTGGTAAAAAGGAGGCAGTACAAGAAAAAACAGCCTCTTGATAAAATATGCCCTCAGTTTATCAAATTATTGTCAGATTATCAGAAATGGCCAGTCAGTTGGGCCAGCTCAGATGAATTTTGGTTTTGTTGTTGGGGTTTTTTTGGTTGGTTGGGTTTTTTTTTTTTTTGGGGGGGGGGGGTTGTTGTGGGTTTTTTTACACTGCTTTCTATAATACTTTATCCTTCTTTTATTTTTGTCCTAGAGTTTTCATAACTGTTTTTTAACACCCCTAGCAATAAAAATAAATGGAACTATAAGAAAATGTATAAAATTCTTGGAATATCAGTATTTTTTTGAGATCTGATTTCATTAAAAAATGTTGAAAAATGAATAAAAATCCATTTTTGTGGAGCTCGCTCTACTTGTTTTCAGTATTGTCAATGTTTTGTCGTAAAGTCTATGGGATTATTTCTGCAGTAAAGCTTCCACTGGCCTGACTATCTCATTTGAGCAGATATAAATCAAGAGCTATTTCAATGTAGTCCAATGGTTTAAATGCTATCATGGACCCTCAATAAAGACTATGTTATTAACCAGGAGGACATGATTATGATGACAATCTTATTCTAGAAAAAAACCCCTAAAAATGCTACCTAGTGTTATTAGCAGTCAGCAAGCATTCACATCAAAAATGAGAGTAGTCCTGATGGGACAATGGCTGTCACAGTTCAAAATGATTCATAGATATTTTGTAGAGATCACAGCCAAAGATAGAGTGGAAAGTTGAAATGAGATGATATTAAAATGATTTGGAAAGCTTTTAAAAAGCAATGAAGGTAAAAAATGCTGAAGGAAAAAGTGTATCGGCCAAATACTTGCAAGATGAAAAAATAGTAAGAGGAAAACAATGCCTCCACTAAATGCATAGAGAGCAATACACTCAGGTTGCCTTTAAAGTGGTTGATGAGTGCTGGGTACTATTTAGATATTTAATTACAAAAACAAAAGAGATCATCCATACCATGAAATCCTTGTTGATGAATTCTTTTTGTGCTGATACATATACTAGTAAGGACAGAATGCAGACCTCAAATGCACTGCAAAAGAAATATTCTGGCTCTTCTGACACAAAGATAACATTGTTCTGAAAATAAAATGGGTCTTAACATCTTAGAATGGATCACGCTGCATCCCAGAAACCTGGACTTCGGATGTCAAATACGCAAACAAGCTGGATATTTTCAAGTAATTACATGTTACTAAAGGATATTTACAGATTATAAACAAATGAAGAGCAGGCGAAGACTTAAATACATGTAAAGACAAACATGAAGGAACAGAGAACCTGAGAACAGGCTTCTGCAGGAAGTTGGAAATAGGATTTTATTGTTGCTTTCTGTCATTGTTCCTGTATCAAATGGCAATTATCCCTCCCATAAGGACTGAACAATTTTTTTTTTTCAAAACTGTCCACATGATGCAAAATACATGCAGTCACTTTTTTAGAATGTCTGTTTTACATGTGTATTATATATTTATACATCTAAGTTCCCCACATAGATGATAAATTCAAATGCCACCAACCATATTCATGCAGAAAAAAATCCAACAAAAACCTGGAATGCTGAATTTGCATAAATTGATAAACTGGATGTCAGCTGAAATTGGGTATCCATACATTCTACCAACTTTGTATTGAAAAGAAAAGGTGCTAGATAAGCTGAAGTTTTAAAAAATATGTTTCTTCTTTAAGAGCTAATATTAAACAGATAATTTATTTAATGCTTTATTATTTATTGAATGAAATTTAGGCTGACACAAAAAATGTCAAAGAGAACTCAGAAATTAGAAAAAATAAAGCAGAATGTATTCTAGAGTTTGCTTTGAAATTAAAAAAGTCAACATATCATATTTTAAAATATCTATTCAGACTTTAAAAAAAAAAAAAAAAAGCACTACCTTATTAAAACTTTAAATTGTGGGGTTTTTTTTGTTTGCATGATCTATCCTATTAGGTATATATGTTATTAAAGATCCTGTTCAATCTTTGTAGTCTTGCAGTCACGTGAAAACCAAGATTGTTTCTTACTTTACATGTTATCTCCAGAACCTTTTCAATATATGAGAATGAAAATACCTCAGAATGCCCCTGCAGTTCTTGAGATACAAAATTTTTCTTCTTCACCGTATGCTGCTTTACTTGACAGCACTTCCCAGTGTGTGAGCATAGTGGAATGCCCAGGGAGGCATGAAGGACACTGCAGTCCTCTGGGCACCACAGAGCAACTGGCTTCCTCCAGGACAAGAGACCACCATGCATCTGTGCAAGGCAATGCAACACAACCCCAGATCAGTAGTAACTTCTTGGGCAAACGCAGTTAAGTGCAACAAGAACCAATTCATGTCTCATTGATTGCACAGAGATGAGGTTATCTATATTTTTACATTCTAGTGGGACACACACCTGGGTCTATTTTCAGTATTTACCTGAGTGAGACAATGAGCTAATTCTCCTCACTGAAATAATGTCACATAGAAAGTCAAGATAAGCAGCTCAAGAGTTGCTGCCTATGCCATAAGTGTCTATAATCAGGGGAAATGAATGCTGTTACATTCAGCAAAGGGGCAGCAAAGACAGCACTAAAGCAGGTAAGATCACTAGAAAATAAACCTGGGTTTTTATTTGAGGCAGCTAAGGAGATTCCACCTCATAGCCATTACTTACAGACAGCAAGTCTGAGAAACTGCCTCAACATGGAGCATCAGCAGAAGATGTCTTAGAACCCATGAATAAGTTGACCAACAAGAAGTCATCAGCTATAAAGTAACCAAAATGAAAAGCTGTGTCACAGTGTCAGAGAACTGGCAAATGGTAAGGATATAATGCAAATCTTTGGAAAAGAAATGGTGTGACCCTGGGAACAACAGAGCTAGGTACTTTGGAAAAAAACCACAACCCTATATTAAGGAAAAGAGCTATTTAGACATATTAGCTGAAGCTGATACAATGGGGAAGAGCTGACACCTCTTCTGTAACCATACCTCCATTTGTTACAAAGAAGTCAATGGGCATGTGAATAGGAGTGAGGTTTGAAATAAGTTTTCATTAAATTCTTTCAGAGGAGGCTCTTGAAAAGACTACATTATCTAAGAGAAGGATCTTCTCACAGAATAAAAGCTCACTAAAAAAACAGAACAGAGACTACAAATAAACAATTTTCATGGCTGAGGGAAGTTGCCATAAATATCTGGGCAGTAAAACAGCCAATGAAGTTCAGTGTTGATAAACACAACGTTATCAATTATGGGAAAAACGAAACACTCACCTAGCCTACAGACTAACGGGATATGTTAAATTTTAGGTACTAATGAGAAAGGAATTCACAGGCTATGTTGATAGTGGTAATTCAGACTGGGCCATAAGAAAGATTTAATGCTCAGTAGTGTTTAAATGTGAGTACACTGCTTACACAGTCTAGCCCATACCAGTCTGTATTCTCCCAGGCAATGCCTGGGCAGGGTGCAAGAGTATTCTCAACGTATGGTCTGCCAGCTGTCAGCCTATATTCAAATAACTCTAATGACATGCATGCAGAGTGAAATGTCACTTGATCTCAGTGCCAGGGAATAGTGTAGCCTACACTGGCACAACCATCAAAAGAAAGCAGTTCTGCTTTCTCTGCCTCACTTCTGGTGGCTCACTCCTACCCTATGCTCATTTTTTGGCACAAGCATTGCTGCAGCCACACCATAAAACCAGATCAGGAAACAGGTCTGGCTGGAAACTAAACATTTTCCAGGGTTAATTTTTAAGCCAGATCATTTCCCTGTTTTGGGCCGCTATACAGCTCCATAGGCAGCTGTGCTGGTACAAATGAGGAGATACAAGGGTACGAATGAGTAGCTGAGGGAAGGCCTACTTATTTCAGTAGGGATGCTGGCTGTGCAGCTAAAAGTATTTGTTGAACCTGAGAATTAAGTTGGCTCATATAACGATATACTAGCTCTCCCTCTCTTCATTCCCATTCAACCAGACACACACATTCCCCCTCCTGCTTTTGCATCAGGACACACATCTCTCTGACCAGTGGTGAGCAGGTTCACAGAGCTAGGATTGTAGGAAAGTATTCACTTTTTTAAAAAAACTAATTTTCTGGTTACTCACTCTGGGGACAGAGGAGCACCAATGCCAATTTAAGGGAAACGAAAAGACCACCCTTTTCATCAGTGGCTATTATCTTTACCGTCGTCAAAATAATCAGACATTAAGAGAAAAGACATGTTATTATCTGCAAAGTAGAAAAATGCAATAGCAAACGGAGAAATCATTTGCATATTACCCTCTGTGGAAGAAGGGTAAGGAAGAATTTTACTTTACCTGCACTGCCAAGATGGCTTGACAGTGCCCTGCAAGTGCAACTCAATGAAAGTAGTAAGCAGAAAGTTTAAAAATAAACAAGAAGATGGACACTTTCACATGACTTTTTATCAAATTATGAAATTCATTATCAGACAATGTTGTGAAGACCAGGAAGATAAAATGGGTTAAAAAGGGATCAGACAGTGTAACAGAAAGCAGAGCAACCAATAGCCATTAGACGCTGCCACAGAAATGCCGAATGGCAGAAGGTGGGTAGCATACGTCCCTGGAAGGGTTGCTCTACACAGGTTCACTTCCTCCCCTATTCTTTTCCTAAGCATTTGCTACCAGTCAGTATCACTAACAATAACTTAAAATGGCAGGTCTTATGCCAGGTATGTATTAAAACTAGTTCATAACATTTTCTAGTTATCATTTATACTTTGTTTGAGAGTATTTGAAAACAGAGAGGGTTTTTTTCTCCTTCTTCTTTAAGGGAGAATAAATTAGCAGAAAAATAAAAGGCAACAGACTGAAGAGCCACAAACAAGTGGTATCATGACAAGGATCCTGAACCTAGAGCTCTGAAAACGAAGACTTTTTCCATTACAGGATAATTTTTCTGTTGTGACAGGGAACAACACACACTGTTGTTGTATGCAAAAAGAAACTTTCTTGTTGATGTGACTGAACCTACAAGGAAATACTCTCCTTGCTCAGTGAAGATGACATTACATCTCTCCTTTTTTCTTGGTGGTGTACCCACCGTCTCCATCTGACACCTTGCTTGACAGGGACAATGATGCGATGAAGTAGTTATCCCTCTTTCCGAGTGCAAGTATCTATGCTCCAGCTCCACTGTCTGCTATCGTCATCAAATGAGCAAACTCTAACACGGTGCTAGCAGCACGGCAGATGAAGAATATTATTTCTAACTCAAGAAGTATATTCCCCACTACAGCAAATACTGGAGAAGCTGTCAGATAATAATTTTTTGTCTAGTAACCTACAGAGCCTGCTTGGCAATTTAAATGATGGTCATTATGTTTCGAGGAATTGTAATTTAAATGAGTGATTTAAAGACAGTATGGGATAAGATCCTTCCCAAGGCTGCAGGCTATGGGGGTAAAGGCGTTCATGAGATCTCACATGGATTGCCTCTTCCATCTCAGAGCCCTGTCTTGTGCACTGCTTCGTTCCTGGGAAAACAGGCTGGAATTGCAGCTTTTAGCCATGGATCATGGACAGACCCGAGGATTTAGAGAGAGAACTGCCCTTGCACCTGCCCTCAACTTTGTAGAGGGTAAGACCGTTGACATCATGTTTGTACCAAAAAAGCACAACTGGGTAATAAAAAGAATAGTTTCCTGTTGGGTCATAGTTTTAGTGGAACTGTGGCCTCAGCATGTGGTACACTTCTGTGTGCGTGCTACATTGTTTCTGTGTCTGCATCAAACGGTAATAACTGTGAAGAAAATAGCTTGTAATTAAGCAACTAGGGAGACAGCAGATGGATGCAGACAGATGGGAGCACACCAGGAAGCTATGAGACAATATTGGTCAGCATGACAAGCAATAGTCACAGCACACTATCAGCACAATGTCTACAGTCTCAATGACAGTTATCGGTGAGTTTTAAGGGCATATTGGAAGGCAAAAAAGAAAATAGCTTTTTAGATGCTTCTGACACTCCTTTGCAAGGGTGTGGGGCAGAACGGAATAAAGGTGTTTGTCAGAAAATCTAGAAAATGTTTGAGAAGTTGGGAGGCTGCATGTGGAGGCTGGCATTGTGTCCACTGATACAGATGAAGAGAAGTGTGCATCTTACCTGTCTACCCAAAACCAGTAATGTGACAAAGAATATAAACAAAGAAATTGAGCCCATTGTCTTCAGATCCTTCAGTATTCCTGGCCTATAAAATAAAAATATAAGTAAAGCAAGCTGCTCAAAAGTTAGAACAAAATTACTTTAGCACAAGAATAAGAAGACCACAATTTATACTACTTTACGGTATGTAAACTAAAACCATTTAAATATGATATGCTTTATTATTTGATGAAATATTATTACCATTATGTAGCTTTAATTACTTCTACTACATTCTGTGTAAAGATGCCTACATTTTGAAGTCCAGTAATAAATGAGGATTTAGTAAAAATAGTATCCTTGTTCATTTACAAATAGAGAGCTTTTGGTGCTTATTCTATACAGGCAGATTAAAAAGAGATGTTTTTTGTGTAATAATGCTACTTCCATAACAGGGAGCTTGATCATATCCAATGAATGTCAAGAAAAAGAAACTAAAGCACCCAACTCCCAAGCTGCCTTTTCACCTCAGAATTACAGGAGGCACAAACTCCTGTATAGTTTTTTTATAGTTTTGTATAGTTTTTTTAATAAACTGCTTTGGGAAAAGACACTAGAGGTAACAGGAAATAGTTCACACTAGCACTCTTCTACCGATGTCACGGAAAGAACCTCGTTGAGAGATTTAGGAAGGAAAATATCAACAGATACACAGCTTGACTGGCAAAAATCAAGGCTGCCAGAAGCACAAGCTAAACCTAACCTGTCACGTGGTTCTCCATCCCATCACAGAGATATCCTTTCCACTAACACAATGGAAACATAAAGACCTGTATTTGTTTATTTAATCTTTAGGTTTAAAAGCAAAGAAAACATACTTTTTTTTTTTTTTAAATTTAGATCCTTTTCCATGGTTATCTCCCTGTCCTAAAGATCTTGAGTGGTTTACAGCACAGAAAAAATGATACTAAAACTCTACTCTGAATATTCAGTTTTTCTGTTGTGGCGTGTGCACTGCACACTCCGCCTACATAGAAGAGAATCACCTCTTTGTTTTGAAAATGAGGTAGCAATTACATGTGTCCAAAAATTATTTTACGCAGCAATACTTAGCATTGGAGGCATAATTTTGGTCTTATATATTATCACCTATAATGAGGATATCAGCAGGCTCACTGAAAATTTAACATACAAATTTGCAAGCACAGCAAAAAAAATCCAAAATCTGGTCTACTCATTTTTTTCAATAGCTAAGACTGCATTTGTAAAGTTTTAAGACAATGTACTAGTTCTGAGGAAGTTGATTCTCTTTGGCTTGCAGCAAATATGCTTTAACAGCCATAACTATGTTCAGCCGTAGGCGTTAACGACGTTAACAATGACTTCTTAATGGTCTTTATTACAAAATACAAATTAAACCATACTTTGTTTCCTATAGAATGTGGTTTAAACACCTTGCCCAGACTTGTTTATTTTATTCTAATGCTCTGAGGTGTGACATTAAATCATATATTAACTGCAGCATGGCAATGATTTTAAATTGTGACTTGTAGATTATATAGGCAAACACATATAAAAAAAATCTGTTTAATGACATAAGAACTGCCATATGTAGTATTTAATTTCTATTAATTTCAGAAGGACTGGAGTTATCCACCTACCTTTTAAGAGGTGCCATTGCATACATAAATTTGCTGTAGTCATCCAGCATGGCCCCATGAGTGTGCAGAAGGATAACATTGTAGCCCACCAGTGCAATCAACATTATCACCATTTTCAACTCATAATTTATCCTCAGGAAAACAGAGCAGGAAATGAGCCCTAATATGCAGCTGTATATAAAATACTGGCAAAGAAAAATCAAATAGAAAAAAATTAGAATTTGGCTCTTAAGTAAGAAATCATACATAATAAAATGCTCAGGCTAGTTTAAAAAACAAATTATTGACTGACCACTTAAGCATGGAATCTATCACAACCTAGGACATTATGGTTTACAGACAGTCAATAACAAATAGATGTTGGTATTTTATAAAATAGACCCTTTTTCTTACTAGGCTCCAATTCACCCAAAACTCAATAAAATCCCGATTATGCTCCTAATTTATGCGCCCTAATTTTCATCCTTTGCCACTTTTTATTTCTTTTTATCTGCAGTAGCAAGGAGTGCCTATTTGTGGGATACCACTGCTGGTGTTGAAGTCTAATGCAAAAGGCTACTGCCAGCAGACTGACTAAAGATTTATTCCCATGCAACTGTATGGTTTTCACTCATGCTGGAATTCAGTAACTACCCTGTATGTATTACTAGCATATCGGTCAAGGTAAAATGTCTAAAGATCTGAAAACAACAATTTAATTGCCTATATTTGCAGTATAAATTGTTGCAATACATGCAGTTGTTATGAACCTCATAGATATGCAGTTTTACAAACTCTAGAAATACGGCTAAGACATGAAGAATATAAAATTATTAACATGGCCTATGCATAATATAAATATAAAAACTTCTGTCAAATCTTCAGTTATGACTATATAAGAACACATTCAGTTGTTAGTATGGTTGAAGTTAAATTCCTTCTAAAAATACAGCATCAAAATTAATGCTAAAACAGAATAATACATTCTCACTAGAATTATTATCTTGGTCCTTAACATGCAGCACCTTTGCCAAAGACGCTTCCTGAAAATTACAGTCCTGCACCTTGTAAGGAAGTTATCTTTTCTGAAACTACAAAGCATTCTATTTCTAGATATGCTATTTTCAGACTACTGTTGACTTGTTGATGGCAGTACTTTTGACAGAACCTGAATCACTGTATACTAATTTTGGGGGATCACTGAGAAGAATAATTTTCACAGCACCCATCAGGCAGAATTGATCTGCCATCTGAATCTCTGCCGTTACTGTAATTTGCTTTCAGATCTGCTTGAAATAAGAAATAGAAAGAACTGCTGTTCAGAATCACCAAAAATAAAACTTCTCTGATGGCTGCATTCCACAGGAGGTCACACTCTGAATTCAGTGTTACATAAAAGTAGCAGCATCCATTTTTTATTCTGTAAGGCATTCTACTTGTGAAATTAGTTTTCCAAAAAGAAACAAGCAAACAAAAGGCTGTCTTGAATCCACAACTAGATGCAGTTTTACAAAGACCAAGAAAATTCCAAGTGGAATAGACAGTCTCTGTTAGTTTTCCATAGGAATATATAGACTAGATATTGAAAATTTCAGCTAAAATTTCAGACAAGGGTGGATGGATTAGAGAAGAGTGGCACAGCCACACCCTTAAGAATGTAGACTCTGATACTGTGTATTGCAATGCAAGATTCCAGTAAGCAACAAACAGATCTGGAAATGAGTCTATAGGCAACTCTGCTTCAACAGCCACACCAGGTTATGAAGCTTTTTTTCTTTTAAAAGCCACCTTAAATAAATCTTTTTCCACTGTATCTTACATATATTCAAGGCCATTGTTTCTAAGTGCTCAACACTGCAAAAGAATTCTTCAATTCCTGTCAATGGAACTGAATTTTCACCTTTTAATAACAAAATTTGCAAATTTTAGTAGATACTTAAAGTATTGTAGCTTAAATCCTTCTCTAACTCTTTCAGCTTTTCAGACTAATGCAAAAGGGCTTGAAAAAAAATCAGAGGAGGAACTGCAAGACAAAATGCTTCAAAAGATACACTGCAGAGGAATAATGGTAACTGGTGTTCTAGCTAGCTTCTCAGAAGGATGCACGCAGCTGCAAAGCAGGCAAGGCACTGGAAAACAGTAACAATTTGGTGGAGGAACAGTCAAAGTAACCATATAGAAAATCAGGACTGGTGGAATTACTGTCATATGTGTAGCAAGAGAGCTCTGGTCTTTGTCAAACCACAAAAATTGCAAGCTGTCAGACAAATGGCAGCCTGTCTCCTGGGCCAAGAGATCTGCTCTCAGTTCATCAAATGAACATGAACTTTCCTACAGAGGAATTAATGCCCAGCTGGGAAAAATTACAGCTTTTGTGTGCAGGTATACTGGACTTGTTTCTTAGTGAAGATCCATTTCAGGCTTGATCATCCTACACCTCTGTACAACCTACTGAAGAATAAAAAGGGCTCAGACTACACAGGCATTGAGGCTTTTTCCAAAGCAGAGAGCTGCAGTGATGCCAACCCTTTGTAGTACTGCACACTGAAGAGTTAGCAATCCACACAGCAGTGAAGCCGAGCTGGTGCAGGTCCGTGCCGTGCTCTGCCTGTCTCTTGGCTGTGGGATAACCTCAGCCAGCTCAGCCAACTTATCGCAACCAAGAAGCCTGCGGGCAGCTCCCATTTGGTAGCAGCGGTTATGCCACCTGTGTGGCTTCGACTTATATATCACAGTGCAGCAGCAAGTTCTCATGGACATCAGTTTTGTCTGACAGCAGAAGTGATGAATAGAAATGTTTCCTTTTAAGGAAATCCTGTAAGAGCTTAAAAGAGGAAAACACTGGGTAACCTCTCCACAGATGGGATCTGCAGCACATCACATGCTGTCCCTGAGTGGAGCACCATCCGATGCTGCATGATGCAGAGTTCCCAGCATCTGAAGGGATCCAACTCCATCTACCCTCTCTTTTCTTCCTGTGCTATCTCCAATAAATGGTATTTTAACCAATACCATACAGAGCCTGAGTGCCTTTCTTACTGGGATCACAGGCCCCGTGCCTTGCACCAGTGCACTACACCTCTAGGATCTTATCTTTAGTCCAGTGCATTTGGTCTCTTCTCTTAAAATTTAAGATCTACAATTCTGTGGTTATAAAGATCTTTACTAAAGTAAAAAGGGATTCTACTCCAATACATCTATGGAGAAAAACTTGAGCAGAAAGTAATTTTGGAATTCCCTAGTCAAATAAAGTGTATTCCAAAACTGTATCTTTTAGAAGTCAGTATTACGACTTTTATTTATTTAACATGTGGAGGTGGTAGTACTGATACCACACTGTATTTTATCATGGGAAGAGATATGCACAACTTGAAATCTCCCAGGTCTAACTTCTATTAAATGGAAACTGCAGAAGCATCATAGCAAACCTAAACAATAACTAAACACAAGCAAAGTCCTTAAAACTTACTGTGTAATTTTTCCTAAGTCTTTAAAAAGAGCAAGAAAGCAAGCAATGCAATTCAGAAAAGTTATTTTGGGGGATGGAGGAGGAGGAGAATCAATCAGTTTGCTTCAAAATTGACTAAATTGTATTGGGGCTGAAATAACTCAAAAATCTCTTATTCACTCATTTTAGATGGCATAGTCAATAGATCTGTCAGGTCCACTTTCATAAATCACAGGAAGTTTATCTGCATGAATAAAGCTTAAAGCTAACATAATGATTCAAAAGATTGAATTTTTAATTTAAGGAAACAAACATTTGTCAGCTTAAGTATTCAATAGCTCATTCCGTAAAGAGAGAACAATTTTATTTCCAGATTTTAAAAAGAAAAATTAAGATCATAAGTAGCAATTCAAAAGGAATTTGTAGCTTTTTCAAGCTAGAAGTTATGTAGTGCCTGGGGATGAGAACTATGTGCATTTGAGAACTTTTTAATTAAAAAGTGAGGGGGAAAGTGTTTAAAAGCTTTAGCCAACCTAACCTTTTCATTTATTATTATCAGAAGTGACATTTTACCATCATTTTTGTGTCAATTTATCAAAGAAAGTTTCTTTGATGAAAGAATGTTTTTTAATACTTTAAAATCTATAAACCACTAATTATTAGAAATGTGCCAATCACATGAAGATCTTGCAAACATCTTAGCTATACATGGGAAAACAGGAAAAAGACACACAACATAAAGATTTTTTTTTTTAAGAACAGCAGATTAAATCTTAATAATAATTTATGAAAACTGTATCCTTGAGATGCTTGTTGGAGATATTACTGGTAAAAAAGAAAACAAAATACTTTTCAAGATGTTCAAAACTATAACAAGTAATATAAAAAAAAGATTACTAGAAAACCTGCTAATTAAAAAAGCAAGCAAATATAAATAAGCATTGGAACAATTTATTTCTATGTGCTTCTGAGTGTGAACATATGCAGAGGCTGGGAGAAGGACTGCATCATTTCTTTGACAACAGGGATAACTTGATGTCAGGGATAAAAGAAGATGTAGGCACCTATCCATACCTAGTGGTATTTAGTTAGCTCAATTTGAAAATGGGAAACAGAAACTCTGCTCTGCTGTTGATTTATCAGGCAGATGCTGAAAGTTTGTAAGTGCTGCATTTACTGCAACTGGTTTTTTTCTGTAAGAGTTCTATACATAATTAACATCTTGCTTTTGTGTGTGCCCAGGATTGTTTAGCTTGACACAGTGAATAGCTGTTTCATGTAAAACATATTGTGTGGAAATCAGCACACGCCACTCTGGCACTGGTCTCATCAATTCTGCATAGAGATAAAATAACCTCCCTTCTCCTCTCACTGCTTATTCATCTGAAGATTATGGACCTATTTTGGCACAATATACAGCTTGTTATGTTCAACTGCAGGTCTTTTGTAATCCCTTTAAGAATCACTGCTCTCTAGGATACAGATCCCATTTTTTGCAGGAATGTCCTTCCCTCTCTTCTTGCATGTGCCGCTGTGCTTTTGTTCACACTAAGACATCTTCAAATCAGTTCAGATCTTTTAAACAGTTTATATAGCAGTACACGAGTGTTGTCCTTCCACCCTCTCACCCCACCTCTTAATCAAATATGCAATGACAGAACTGTGTGACAATCACAGATTTCACATTTACTGTCAGGTCAATAATGAAAGTGGTGAATATTTTCAGGTATACCACTGGTCCTTGTGAAACCTGTCTGCAGACCAACCTGGTTTTCTCACTGATTGCAACATGGAGCTTTCGGTGCACAGTCTGCTTTGCAGTTGCTGTGTGTTCTTCTGATATCTTGTAATGCCCATTTGTTGGCATGGGTGAGCTATGCTTTTTAGTTATCAGACTCTTTCCTGCTTTTTAATCTGCCATTCATTACAACCTCTATTTTCAGAATTACTAATCTCCTTTAACTTCCTACTTCCTTCAAATACAGTTGCAGGTGACTGAAAAAAAATCAAGCTTTTGCTGCAGTCTTAAAAGCTGGTGGGTGTTTCACTTCAAGCAGATCCAACAGCAGTCAATTTAGTGTAATTGTTGTAAAACAAACAAAGAAATATAAAATGAACTTACCGGTAGGAAAAAACAGTTGTTTTGTATACACCACCGTGTCTGATTACTCGAATTAGGAAAACTTGCATTTGATGAATTAAGAACTGAGGGAAAAGCTTTCACAGCATTATCCAGGAAAAACTAGAGAAAAATAACATATAATCCATTAGCTTGTCAGTTGTTTAAGGTCAAACTAGAGAAGAGAAATGGAGAAGCGGAGAAAGCCTTGCCAGTAATCATTTAACTTTGGTATTTCACTGCAAATTGAAATAGAAAAGGGAAAATGACATCACTTGATTGCTTGTTCCTGCATGCTCAGACAAAAACAGCTTTGTTAACCTCCATCTGACACTTTCTATTTGAATAAAAAATGAAAGGCTCCTTGTTATGTTACTTTCATATATCAGAAGCTCACACACACGACAGACAATGATGAAATAAATCAAATATAAATAATTCCTGGGTTTACCTGAACTGAGCCGCCTATTTAAACACAGGAAGAATTAAAGAAAGTTATCCTTTACTTTAAGTCTAAGAAGTCTTTACTGAAGTTGATTTACACAGATGTAATCCTTCTCATAGTAATGATGATGAGAATATAGATGCTGATGGTATTGAAACAGAAGAGTGGAACCAGTATCTCCAGCCAGATGTTACAGATAACCAGCATCATACGATACCCTTTGATGTAGTGATCCAGTACTTTCTTAACGAGTTAGATTTGACTACATTAATTCCACTGCTTTGAATCTCACCACTTAAACTGTTTCTAAGTTAAACCAGTATTCATGGCCAGTTCCCACTTTTTTCTCTTCTTTTGCTAATCTCATCCTTTAGCATTCAGATAGCTCCTTTCTCTCCTCAGCATTTACGTGCCCAACATTTAATGCCATCTCAGCCTTCGCTATGCTCAGCAACCTATGTTTTTCTAGTTTCTTCCTAAAAAACAAGCTTTTCATTTCCCTGATCATTCTAGTAGTCACCCTGTGCACATACCTCTTTCCATTCAACCTTCTGGGTGACTAAAACTGCAAACGCACTCCCCAGATTTTATCAGTGAGTTGTGCAATAGCATTAATACCAATTCTGCAGAAAGTACGTTTTCATACATCCTCGAATGACAGCTCCCTTGCTCACAGCTACAAAACCTTAATAGCTCACCGTACCTCATGCAAGTGGGGCTCAGACAGATCATGAAGTTATAGCAGCTTAACACATTGCTGCATGTTGACATAATCCCAGCCACTGACATCACGGTCAGCAAATGCGAGGTCGCTTTCCTTCACTGGAGCTCACTTAGCTAAATGTGGTTTATACTTATCATGAGTTAGAAGCAGTCACATGGATGGTTGTTGTGATTCAGCTGAGTTGTCATTAAACCCACATAATTAATCAAAATCCTGAAGTCATTGCACCTCTACCTGATGAGCTTCCAACTTGTATCAGAATTTCTTGTCACAGGTCTGTCAGACCAATGATAATCTCGCACTTTGTACTGAATTTCATCCTAGTTCTTTTACTCAAATCCTCAGCTGACTTCTTCCTTTCTAAAATCCCCAGCCTTCTCTCACAGACATTGCCTGTTACCTTAATTTCATCAGCAAATTTCACAGTCCCTCTCATACACTGTATATGAAAATCCATACTGGGCTGACCATTGCAGAGCTCCACAGGTTGCCTCCCTTTCACCTCTTGTTCTTTGCAAGTAGCCACTTTGCAACCCAACTCTAAATTCTTTCCCCATCCCTGTCTTTAATTAGTGCCCCAGAGAAAAACTGCTAAGTTCACGCAGAGTAACCAACTCTGGATCAAAATGGTTTATTGCTTTACTAACACTAGATCTGGTCAGCGACAGCTCTGTGTAGCCAAGTCCTGAAAAATTCCAAGGATGGAGGCCCCACAACCCCCCTTGCAATGTGTCCCAGCACTGTACCACCTGCACAGTGACTTTTTTTTGTTTGTTTTAAAAGACTATCCAACCTGCCAAGCCACCACCTGTGGTCAGTGCCCTTTGATATGTTTTGTGGTGCTGCTGAGAAGAGTTTGAAACCATTGTCAATGTAACACCCCTTCAACAGAAGGAGGATGGGTTATGCACTCGCAAAGGCGTTCGATACACCATCTGCTCTGGAGTAATGTGCAGAATGGGCTCACCTTTCTTTGTAGAGCTGCACTTTCAGGTTGTCTTCCTTTACTAACATACTTCTCTGATTATTTATGTGCAACTACACATAATTAACCAGCAATCAGTGAACTATACATTAGTATTATGACAGATAAATCATAATACCAGACCCTACAAAATGTTAATAAACACCTACAAATTTTGAAATACCCTTCTATAGCTGATCTCAAAGAGCTCTTATCATGAACAGATGCAGAGTTATATGCACATCCACCCCTTCTCACAGGATGTGTGCCTTAAATGCACACAATCCCTTTTCTGGGAGCATGGGTTACCCTACTTGCCACCCCTCCTGGAAGGAGATGTGGGTGCTCTACCTTTATGTGCACCTCTGCAGCTCCCTCTGAACTGTTAATGCACATGGTGGTGAGAAAGCGCCCCACGAGTTCAGGCGCACAGGCACACCCCAGGTGCTGGTCCCTGCTTGTTGCAGCCCGCACTGTCGCCCCTGAGGTGTGATGCCAGAAGGGTGACTTATGGCAGTGTCAAACCAGGTTTTGACAGTCAGCTGTTTCCACTCATAGGTCTCTGCCTCTTGTTACGCATTTCTTTTATACTTTTTTCCACACTATTTCCTTCTTTGTTTCAAATTTCTTTTGAAGTGCATTGGTTTCCGTATAACCCAGCTGATGCTGGACTTCATCTTTAACAGGAACAGTTTTGGGCAAACGCCCTCCAGACAGCTTTAAGTATTTAATCCCTCTCCCTGTCCACAACTATTTACACTGACATTCTCTTCTTAATAGGTGTTAACTAGGTCATTTGTCAAGGATGGGAAAAGAGAGTGTCCACATCTCACTAATAGTGCATTTACTTTTTTTGCAAACATGAAATAACTGTATTTAGTTTCAGAATCCCATCCCACACATGTCCGCAGAGCAAAAGATTATATACCATGAAGAACTCAAACACAATTATATTACATATACATGTATACATATTTATATACATTCATTTCTATTAAAGCACTTTAATTTTGGTTTTGACATTTGTACAGGGCATTTCTGACCTATAAAAGTTACCTGTATACACAGAATGCTATATGAAATGTGGTCTATCTATGAATACATAAATAAACATAAAAAGAAAAAAAAAAGGATATGGAAATGTTGTCATCTCCCATGAGCCAAACAACACTTATTTCTGAATGATGTGTTTGTACTTCTCTTTCTTGTCTCTCATCAGTTATCTACAGCTGCTATCACGCTTTGGAGATATAAATTGTTCTTCAACATAGTATTTTTTTGTAAGAGACAGCTCAGTCCTACTAAGCAGTCACACCTACTCAAATGACTCAAATGAAAGCAATATTTTTTATGAATACCAATGTTTGCCAGGGAACATCTGAGCACACTACCATTAAATTCTCATTTTAACTTCATATATTTTAACAGCTTTTTCTTCTCTTGTGTTCGTATAATCTGCAGTCTTCAGTTGTGAGGTTTCTGCCTCGCATGATGCATAATACCTGCTGTGCTGCTATTTCTTTCAATAGGAAGCATGTGGTGACAGAGCCTCCCCCCACAACACAGGATAAGTAAGTTTTTGTGCATCTCTTTTGTTATCTGACCAAGAATCTGCACAAGACTACATAATACACTAGTTTAGATCTTACTAAAAACAAAGCCAACTTTCTCACCAAGGTACTTTCAACCCTTCTGTACAATCCACAAGGAACCAGAACTAAGGCTTCACAATGAATGTGGCCCGATAGCATGTAAACTTGGCCACGTCAAATGGGTTGTATCTCACCATACTAAGCAAGCTGGCCTGCTGATTTCCATGTTAATGTGCATAAAATAGCGTCCTACTGAGAAGAAGAAAAGGTGGCAGAATTTAATATTATGTGCACTAATCAAATGTACACCGAGTTGAACAATTATGGAATAAATAATAAAATGTGTAAAGTTTTAATAATTCCTATGTTAATGGGCTGACCCCATGACAGGTGGGCAGGAGGGAGAGAACTGGGAAATACCCCTCCATTGAGCTACTGAATCTTAGAGTAAAAGGCAAAAATTAATTGATTCAAGTGCCACAGATAGTTCACCTGTGGTCATCAACCTGTGGTAGCACGATGTCATGCAGCAGCCACCTGTAAAGACAAATACTACTACAATTTTCTGTGGAAAAAGAAGGCAGAGGCTACCCTCTACACACTAACAAGTGCACTTTCGCACACCAGCAAGAAACCCCGCAGCCCAGAGGTAAGCTCTTTAGGAAGTAGGTGCTCCAGGAACAGCAGTTCCAGAGCAGAGCTGTGCTTAATCAATAGAAACATATAAGCAGCAAAAACAAAGGTTTGGCATGCTATCAAAAAAATGCAGCTCAACTGAATTTACAGCTTTTGTTTAATTTGATCACATCACCATTTTCTCTTCCTTATTATACAAAATTACACTGGAAATGGACATGTGAGGACTATAAAGAGAAGTATAAAAAACATCTTTGTCACTGTGCCTCTCTCCCCACTACTTCCTTGCCTCATATGAACACAAAACTATACTTTAATTTTCTGCTGTTCCAGAAGAGCTACGCAATCTCCTCAAGACACAATGGTCTACAGTTTTTACAGTGTTGTTGTAAACAAAGTTGTTCATGTTTGTGCCCTACTCTTTGTTCAGCAAAAGATAGAGTCAGAAGAATATATTTAAAGTATGGCAGAAGCATGCAAGTCTGCTATCAGGTTGAACTAGAGGATTTGCCTTTTTCTTAAAACAAAATAAAATGAAGCAATGATGCTTTTGTTCAGCATTGCTCTTTTGTTTGAACCTCTAAGTCAAACATGCAGGACTCCTCTGGTTCATTTTTAATTTTTCTACCAACTCTTCAAATATTCATGTTGCTTAGGAGAACTTTCTTCTCAAAATGCATACCACTGCTTCATTTAAAAAATGCCAATTGATCTGATAGCTGAGTCAGGAATTTATCTCCAGATTCTCACATGAATGCCCCA